GGGATGGGAGGAGGAGGAGGAGGAGGAGGAGGAGGCGTAGCAGACCTGCTGCTGCCTCCTAAGCCCGAGAAGTCAGAGTGAAGTGCCCCAATGAAATCAGTCGGCGATGAGGAGGGGGACACGCGGGAAGGAGAAGACGGAGAAGGATGAAGAAGTTGAAGAGGGATGGAGGAAGGGGGCTCTGAAAGAGAATGAAGGAACAGCAATCAGAGGCATATGATTGTTGGATCTCAAAGAAGGTTTGTTATCAAAAGTTCCTTCCCTTCCTCCCACGTATCACATACTTCTCCTCCTCCTCCTCCCCTTCTCTCACTCTACCTCCTCCTCTACACCTGATTTCTGCTCTGGACGATGACGATCTTGTCCTCGCTCACGACTCCCTCGATGTCCTGCTCCTTGCCCAGCTGGCGCTCTATGGCGATTCCCACCTCAGCAATCTTCTTTAGCAGCTCCTCGCGGTAGTTTCCGTCCCAGAACACTCGGTCGTTGCTGTAGTCTATCGCCTTCTTCTCGGGCTCGATGGCCATGACGCTGTCGTACAGCCCGGCTCCCGCGTACTTGTCGAGGTCCTCGCAGTTGGAGTCGGAGCGGAAGATGAAGGTGCTGTCCTCGAGGAAGAAGCCCTCTCGCTTCGAAGGCAGCCTTCCTACCGTTACCTTCCCGCTCTTCTTGTCCACCAGAAAGCTCAGAGCCCGACCGGGATGGTTCCCCACCAGAGCCTCGCCCAGCCCCAGCACGAGCTCACCGGCCAGCTCCTCCTCCTTCCCGTTCATGGGGTTCTTGGTGTGGAGGACGAAGGCGTAGGAGGCGGCGGCGACGGGCTGCAGGAGGACGCCCATGAAGAGGTTGGAGTCGGGGATGCGATGAGCCTTGCGGGAGAAGTATGCGCGATCGCTCCACTTGCTCGCCCAGACCCTCCGGATCGCCTCGCAGCTCTCCTCCTCGTACTCCTGCAGGAAGTTGGAGAGAGGCGACTTGAGGGTCCGTGCCTGCAGATCCTTGAGGAGGCTCGCGGGTATCTCCACCTCCTCGAACGAGTTTCTTAGCTCCTTCAGGACCTCCAAGTCGTGCTGGGGCTCGCCGGTCAGGCTGGCCTGCAGCTTCTGGATCTTCTGCTGGACTGGCTTGTTCGCGTCAGCGGCGAGGATCTTCTCGAAGACTCCGAAGGGGATGGCAGCTGAGAAGGGGAACTCGACGTAGGCGGGGAGTTCGCGCTTGAGGGCGATGAGCTTGTGAAGATTGAGGGACTTTGACCCGACCACCTGCTCGTCGAATTCTTCCTCCTCCAGCACATCGGCTTTAGGGGAGGCAGGGGAAACAACTTTGATGCTGCCTGTCGCCTCCTCCTGCACCTTCTGGTCGCTCTTCACTCCCTCCTTCACCACGATGTTTCCCATCGAGTCCACCGACACGTCCACCAGGCCCTGGCGACGGCAGAGGTCGCTGAAGGCCTGCTCGTCATGGCAGGTGGCGAAGAGGACGCGCTGGTTGCGAGCTCGGATGGCGATGTGAGAAAGAGCGTCGATGCTGCTGCGGGTGAGGATGGCCGTGACGCCCTTGGGGATGTCCTCTATCCCCCTCACCTCCCGCACCACCACCACTTGCTTCTCCTTGAACTCCTTCCCCTGGATCGCCACAAGGTTTTCCAGCACCTGCACGCTCCCCGTCGCCTCCACGATGCTCGACATGGGCTCCCACGTCCCGATGTTGGCGCACTCGCGGATCATGGGGTCGAGGCAGGCGAGCAGTTGAGAGACAATGAAAGTAGAGCTGCCTCGGATCACTTCCTCCCCGAAGTTGGTCAGGTACGCCTCCTCCGTCCCCATCGCCTTCCCCAGCTGCTCTGCCTTGGGCTGCACACACGAGTAGATCCTACCAGACACTTCCTGCAGCGCAAGGCTGATCCTCTCCACCGTCGCCTTCGCCACCAGCCCCCACTCCTTGCTCCACCTGTTTCCCATCTCCTTCACCTTGCACAGCTGAGAATGGCAGAACTCCAGCTCCTGCCCAAGAGACAGCGCGCAGTTCTCTAGAGCCACCGAAGTCACGTCTAGCAGGTTGTTCTTCTCCAGGTGTCCAAACTGCGTCTTCTCCAGCTGGACCTTGAACCACTGGTCCAGCGACACGTCCAGCATGAGCCCATCTCTGTGCCCCTCCCCGTTGCTCAGCAGATGCTTCAGCCTCCTCCTCGCCTCGAGGATCTTTCCCGGCACCCACCACTCGTGCCTGTTGCTCTGGATCTCCCGCAAGATCCCGTTCAGCTCCCCGTCCAGCCCTCCACTCGCCTTGTGGATCATGAAGTCAAGGTCTGCTCCTCCGTGCACCTGCATCAACGTCCATCGGAGGTGCTTGATGTCGTTGCACAGCTGGGGAAGGTGCAGGGGAGTAGCTGTGAGGCCCTTGAGCCCGGAGTTTGCGGACCCTTTCCCACCTCCGATGGAAGACATGTACTCCCAGGAGAGGCCGTTGCCCTTGAGGTGGCTCCAGTAGTCGTCGGGGTTGCCGGTCTCGAGGAAGCGGATGTAGGCTTCAGCGATGATAATGTCGTCAGGAGCGCAGTTAGTGTGAAGCTTCTGGTGCCACTCCTCCAAGAACCTGTCCTCAATCCTGAATGCCACGTCAGCTCCTGCCTCCTTCTCTCTCCTGCCCTTCCCTCCCTCGTCCCTCCTCTCTTTTTCCTCCTCCTCCTGCCCTCCTCAATTGTACTCATTCTTAATCTGCGTTTGATCTTTTTCCCTCCCCTCCCCTCCCTTCCCCTCCATCTCCTCGCATCTTCGCTCCTCCTCCTCACCCGGGTCGATGGCCCTCCTTGATCCCGTGCCTCCTCATGATGTCGAGGATTTCCAGTCGGATCGCGTCTCCGTTTCCTCCTCCTCTGCGCTCGCGTAAGCTCCTCTCACTCCACCACCAGCCTCACCTCGGCACCAGCGCGACGCACATCCTCGCCCACAGCCTCGCGTCGGGCTGTTTGGCATAGAGAGAGGCAAAGGCAAGAGAGACGCCGTCCTGAGTGTGGGCCAGGTCCTTGGACTGATAGTTGGAGTTGCGGGTCAAAGGGACCTGTAAGGCCGTTGTATCAGCACGCGCAAGAGGACAAGGAGAGTTAGAGACGAGAGGAGAGAAAGATATATCTACTCTTTTAGTTGAGAGAAGGAGCAGAGGAGAGGAGAGGAGAGGAGAGGAGAGGAGAGGAGAGGAGAGGAGAGGGAAGGAGAGGAGAGGAGAGGAGAGGAGAGGAGAGGAGAGGAGAGGAGAAGAGAGGAGAGGAGAGGAGAGGAAGGAGAGGAGAGGAGAGGAGAGGAAGAGAAGAGCAAGGAGGAGGCAGGAGGAGAGGATAGGAGGGTGAGGGAGGGGACAGGAGAAGAAAGGAGGGGAGAGGAAGAGAAGAAAAAGCTTGAGGAGCTCACAAGTTTCATCTGGTTGAATCGTAAAAGGGTGTACAACCAGCTCAGTCCTTCCTCGCTCTCAGCCACAGCCTTCACGTTCTGATTGACCAGCCGCATGCGATCGAGGATACTCCAGTGAGAGGCCTTGGCTTCCCTTTCCATGATCAGCTGCCCGATCGAGCTTGAGTCGGGGCTCTTCAGTGCGATCTTGAAGTCTCCGCCGGGCCCGCTGATCCATTCCTCGGGAGAGCTCTTCTTGAGGACGAAGGAGATCGCCTCAGGCATGTCCTGCTTCTTCATCACGATCTCTATCCTCCCGTTCACAAACGTCGTCTGTGACGCCTTTTCGTCGATCCTCCTCGATCCAGCCGGCAGACACTCGTCGGGCACGGCATACCATCCCTTGGAGCTCTCGGAGAAGGCCCAGTGAAGCACCATCTCCCCTCTGCACTTGCACTCGATGGAGCACTTGACTTGGTCTCCCTCCAGCACCGCCGAGACTCTGACCATCGACTTCTCCTCCTCGTGCTTCGACTGAAACTCGTGATGGTACTCATCCAGCACCTTTGGCCCGCTCGACTTCCCGCGCATCTGCTTTCCTCCCGACATCCTCAGCAGCCTGGGCCCTCCCGCGACGACTCCGTGCTGTCCTCGCAGGCGCAGATGGTGTGTCAGAAACGAAGCTTGACAAGATATCAAGGCTTGGACGGCCATGGCCGCAAGGAGGATTTGCCGCATCCTGCTGATAGAAGTTCTTTTCAGAGGTTGTTTGTTATGGACAGCGAACAAGTCAAGAAGTCTATATGTCTACTTGATCTCCTCCCGTACCTCATCATCGTACGCCATTCTGCAACCCCTACCCTCCTCTGTAATTTTTTTTTCATAAATCTCTCTAGCAACATGCACAACTATTCCAATCAGCTACATTACAACCTACACAAGGACACAAGGACAAGCTCTTCCAAAAGCTTACCCCCACACCGGTCTGCACCTGTCAACTACCCTGCAACCGTTTCGTCTTTCACCATGGATTCGTCTTATGTCTCTTGGTGGTAGACATGAAGAGAAACAAGAGAGGTTCTCAAGACGTGTGCCATGCTCTCCCCGTCTCTGCCTTCCCCCATCCTCTTCCTCTCTCCTCCTATCCCTGCCCCCCTGCAGGCTTCCATTGCGATTGTGCAGGGGGAGGCCGAAGATACAGTTCCGTACGATATAAACCTTCATTACCACCCCACCACCCCCCTTACCTCCCATGTGACAGTGGGTCCTTGTCCATGTACTGTTCAGGTGACCACCTCCTAAAAGGGGGGTACTTTATTGAGAACAGTGGGGTGGCATTGCCATTCTGATTTTATTTGATTCAAACTGCATACTGTAAACTTCACTCAGCACTGTCGCCGGGGGCCGCGGCCGGCTCTCTGGGCAGCCCGGCCCGGCCCGGCCCGGCCCGGCCCGGGGGCGGCACCTGATGGGCGGGGCCAGCACACTAGGACTCAGAGGCAATACTCCCCCGACCGTTGCAAGGCCGTTGATTTTTGGTGTGATATGCCGGGCAAAAAAAAATGGCAATTGTCAACCAAACTGACACGAACGACCGGGAGAAGTGAACTCGGAAGAAGACAAGAGGAGAGAAAGGGAGAGGAGGGGAGAGAAGAGGAGAGGAGAGGAGAGGAGAGGAGAGGAGAGGAGAGGAGAGGAGAGGAGAGGAGAGGAGAGGAGAGGAGAGGAGAGGAGAAGTTTGGGGAGAAGTGACTGAGCAGAAGAGAAGAGCAGAAGGGGAGAAGGAAACTTGAGAGGAGGTGGCAAGCTCCACCTGTGATGACAGCATCGGGCGATGAGAAAGAAGAGAGAACTTTTCAAGTTGAACAAGAACTTCTCCGACAGAGCGAAAGAGCCACCAGGTTGATGCTGCAGGGCGACTTACAAGAGGCCGAAGGAGTCGCAACCAGGGCATTGAGCATAAACCCCAAGCACGTTCCTTCAGCATGTGCCCTGGCAAGAATACTTTGCAGGAAAGGAAAGGCACTGCGCGACGCTAGCCTGATCGAGCAAGCCGGACAACATCTGAGTAAATCCTTGAATATCCACTTACATCCCTCACTTGGTGAAAAGGAACATGCCACGAGCATTCACCAGACGATCCGTGCGGTCTTTTCTTCCTGGGGAGATTCATGTTGCTGCAAAGGCAGGTAAAGCGCTTGCAATAAGACTGATGCGCCGAGAATGATGGTGATCCGAGAATGATGGTAATCCTGTGCTGCCTAGGAAATGGAAGAAGCAAGCGCGTACATAGATAAAGCCGTTGAGACCGATCCTCAAGGACAGTTCTTGCACCCCCTGGACCCTCCGTTACAAACAGTGAGATGTCTTGCAGTCCATGTGATGCCCCTGACGGCAAGCAGCTACTCCAGCAGTTCACCGTCGAAGTCAACAGGGAGAGAAGCAAAACCATCTGCTTGCGGTTCCTCTACAAGAAGAAGCCGCCCCTCCCCCACATCCCCTCCAGACGAAACCCCCTCGAGCCTTCTCGTCCCTTGCGCGAGCTGCTTCGCGCTAAGAGGCATCCTCGCGGCCTGCTAGTGGCTGAGTCGCCTACGGATAGACTGCGTGTCCGTGCTGCTGCTGATGCACTTCCGCGATCAAGCATCACAACATGGGAACGACAAGTCAACGACTGCATGGCCAGTCGCAGGAGTTATGACGGACTCTACTCGGAGAGCGAAATTGTGTCCCGTGCTCGAACGCCCTTCTCTCTCTCCCCTTCCTCTCGGCCCTCCACGTCATGCTGGATGCCAAGTTCCCTAGTCGCTCCGGTGAAGAGCGACGCAACCTCTTGCTTCAGTCCTACGGGTAAGCAGCTTGCTAAGCGATGCCTCCTGACCGAGTCGAGCAGATGCGAGCTACTTTACGTCCTTCCTCCCCCCGTTGATACCTGTCAAACGTCACATCGACACCCTCTAGCTCCAACGTCGCAGCAAGTCAAGCGGGGATAAGCGCGTGGTGCAGTCTCTTGTTATTGAACGGTCAAAGTGGATATGTCAAGGTAGAGCCCCAGGAGAGATGGACCGACGAGAAAGGAGGATGGAGCCCTTGCTTGATCGCCATCAGCTGATACGCGAGTCTCGAGTACTGCGAGTGAAAGGCTCCGATGAACACGTCGCAGTCACGGAGGAGGAAGAGATCGAGCAGCGCGGACTCGCTGACCATCTCTGAGTCCACGTACCCCTAGAGAATTCCGACAAGTCAGAGGGGAGGAGAGAGCAGAGAGCAGAGGTCGGGAGCACCTGCTTCTGCCTCCAGTGAAGAGCCTTCCTGGCGTTCTTGCCCGTCAGCTGATCTCGATCAAACTCGAGGTGCAGGACGCGAAATCCTTGTTCAGCCTTGGCTGCTGCAATGATCCTCGGGTCTTGCGTGGCCAAGAAGACGGTGGAGATGCCGTAGAGCTCTCGCACTCGTCGGATCCTCTCAAGGTACGGCTGGAAGCCATCGCAGATGCAGTGCTTGTACATGAGGCAGATTCCCCCCTTGTCGTTCTCGTAAGAACAGTAGTCCCCATTGCGCACGTGCACTCCGATGATGGGGCCGTAAAAGCCCAGCTGCGCCTTAGCAGAAGCGATCTGAAGGAAACGATGAGGAGACGAGGGGAGAGGGAGGAGGGACCTTGAGCTGGAAGTCAAAGTTTTCTTGGAGAAGGTAGTGCGAGAGGTGGGAATACCACCAGAACGATCCTCTGCCTGAGTACTCGGCTGGAATCACGTCTCGAGGATGCGACTCGAACTCAGGCTGCTGGAAGTCTTGAGAGGCTTCGCAGTCAAAGTGAGGATGAAAGTGACAGGCGACGCCTGACGCATGCCTACATCCCTTGTGCAACCCGTAGGTCCACTCGCCTTGGAAGACGGTCGCCCTCGAGCGCGCAAACGAGTAAGAAAGCTGTACGGTGGCATCGGAGACTACGGCGGCTAAACCTTGATCATTATACTCGAACACAAACACCTTCTCCCTCGAACAGTTGCTAGTGTCTGCAAGACAGCGTGAGTGTATACGAGATCGTCGATCAGATCTCACTGTGAAGGTTTTGTAATCTGTGCAGCAGTTCTCTGCTGCCATTCAGAAGGGACGCTGACAAAGCCCATCTCGAGTCGGACAGCACCGGCATCACTTGCGGAAAGTACTCCACCTCGACCTCGAGACTCACGTTACACGAGCTCCCGATCCAGTCGCCCTCGCAGACGCACTCACACTTGCGAGGCGACCCAACGCACGTGCCATGCCCCCCACAGATCACGTGACCTTCGCTGTCCGAGGGAAGCGAGTCAAGCTCGACCTGGTGCAGCTCCGACCAGCTCCCGATGGGGATGGAGAGAACTCTTTGTTCTTTCCCTTCCCCTGCCTTGACCCCCCCCTGTTGCTCGTCAACCTTGTACAGAAGCTCTACAGGCCCTCCTAGCGGCTGCTGGTCGGGGCCCGACAGCTGGACTTGAATGTGGTGCCATCCTGGTCGGTTGAAAGGCTGCGCAAGACTCATGGTGATCTCAAAAACGCCTTCGCTGTCTCGGACGATCTGGATGAAGTGAGACGAGAGACGCAGGGTAAGTCGGATACCTTTGCGGTGGTAGCATGATCCCAATCAATGAGAACTTTGACAAAGCCATTCGCAATCGAAGGGAAGCGATGGAACGCAAAGTAGGTCACGAGAAGAGCTACGTTGACATTGCTGGGGTCATTGTAGACATACTTGTCCGGAGGAAATTGGAACATGACATTTGGAGGCTCATTGGCGAGATGAAAGTGGATTGACGCTCGTTCTTTCACGTTTGATTCCTCACGCTCTTCGTCTGAGATGTCCCATGTCAAGATCTCGAGATCAAATCGAGAAGCCTCTGGTGACGCATCGAGTTTTCCTCCATGCGTGTTCTCTTCTTCCACGTCAAGGAAGTCCATCACAGTGCTGTGGGTCCCCTCCTCGTACACGTCTGCTTCCCTCACTTCCCGTCCGTTCACCCTGATAGCCAGCCACCGTTTATCATTCAGCTTGAACTCCAGCAGACGAGTCTCTCCGACCAGCAGCCGCTCTCCTGTTCTCGGGGATTCGACTTGCAGCTGCTGAAAGGTGTCTGGCGAGTGGATCGACTTCGAAACAAACCTCGCCGTGTGGATCCGCTGCCGCATACAAGGGCGTCAGACTGCGCAAACAGACATGAGGAGCTTACGCAGATATTGGAGTCTCGTTTCCAGGTTGACTCGCCGGTGTCGCTAGTGATCGCCAGAGTCACTTCATGCTCTCCATCTGCCCAGCCACTCAGCTCTGAGGCAGGTTCCCTGTCACCGCAGACCGGGAGGGACGGGAATCTCAACGAGGCCTTCCTTCGCCCATTGCAGGCCTGCGCAGGGAGCCGTCAAAGGAACAGATGGAGGAGAGGGTCTTTCACCGTACGCCACCAACCCTCCATCAAGCATGAGAGCAAAGGCGACGTCCTCCTCCAGCACAGTCGCTGGCTCAAGCTCGATCACCATCACCTGTCGAGTCTCATGCAGCAAGTCGCCGATGGGGCTTTGCAATCACAAGGTGAATGGCGCAACATGTACGAGGCTCGCAAACCTCGTGATCTTGATGGTCTGGATGTTTTCAACTTTCTGTATAAACTTCTGTGTACCTTATCAAGAATCAGCAGCACTCCTCATCACCACGCACTTATGTTTCATTACATTCTTCATGTCCACCATGCCCCGGGTGGAGAAGCACAAGAAGAAGCAACGCAGTGAATGAGTCTCGTCTGGAAAGTTTGAAGGAATGGAGCGAATTGACGAAATGAAATCCCCAACTTCCATTCTCCATGCCTCGAAAACGTTACCGATGCGACAGGTATGCTGTCTTCTACTATCTCAGTATGCTGTCTTCTACTATCTCAGTATGCTGTCTTCTACTATCTCAGTATGCTGTCTTCTACTATCTCAGTATGCTGTCTTCTACTATCTCAGTATGCTGTCTTCTACTATCTCAGTATGCTGTCTTCTACTATCTCAGTATGCTGTCTTCTACTATCTCAGTATGCTGTCTTCTACTATCTCAGTATGCTGTCTTCTACTATCTCAGTATGCTGTCTTCTACTATCTCAGTATGCTGTCTTCTACTATCTCAGTATGCTGTCTTCTACTATCTCAGTATGCTGTCTTCTACTATCTCAGTATGCTGTCTTCTACTATCTCAGTATGCTGTCTTCTACTATCTCAGTATGCTGTCTTCTACTATCTCAGTATGCTGTCTTCTACTATCTCAGTATGCTGTCTTCTACTATCTCAGTATGCTGTCTTCTACTATCTCAGTATGCTGTCTTCTACTATCTCAGTATGCTGTCTTCTACTATCTCAGTATGCTGTCTTCTACTATCTCAGTATGCTGTCTTCTACTATCTCAGTATGCTGTCTTCTACTATCTCAGTATGCTGTCTTCTACTACCTCAGTATGCTGTCTTCTACTACCTCAGTATGCTGTCTTCTACTATCTCAGTATGCTGTCTTCTACTATCTCAGTATGCTGTCTTCTACTATCTCAGTATGCTGTCTTCTACTATCTCAGTATGCTGTCTTCTACTATCTCAGTATGCTGTCTTCTACTACCTCTCCATACCATCGAGTACACGCAATGCACCCGTTCATGATGTTTCTGTTTCCATCACCTGGTTCCAACCTTCCGTGCCCGCCTCAGACGCTCTGAGCAAACTGCATGATTCCCTTGAAGGTCATTCCGGCCGGCGGGCCGCGGCGGCCCGGCGGTTCCGACTTTAGTCCCCACCGGCATACAGGTTCCTTAATTCTCGGCAGGCCCCGGCGTACTTTCTTAACTGATCGCCGCCGGCAGGTTCCCGGGTGACTTGTTCAATTCACGGTATTCCCCGGCATATACGGCGGTACTCTTCTTTAACTCTTCCTCCAACGCCAAAGTACAAGTCGCCTACTGTAGTATGGGAGTGAACGCAATGACGCTCATCGGAGAGTCTGAGTTATGCAGCCCGAGTCAAAAGAGCAGTGACGTCAAGGGAAACGAATGCGACAGGTTGAGTTAGCACAGGCGCGCTTGCTCCTTGTTCGAGTCACCACCCACTGAGAGACTGAGGGGAAACCCTCTAGGTCGAGCAAGGAGCCTCCGAGGCTACGGACAGCAGCCGAGCCTCGGATCCTTGACTGCGTGCGATTGGGTGGGTGGGGGTGGGATGAGTGGTTTGATGTGGATTGGATGCAGATTGTTCCTAAAGTTCATGGGTGGGGGTGGGGTGGGGTGGGTGGGGGTAAATGGGGGTGGGTGTGTAAAACGAGGAAAGGTCAGGCTGCTCCGTGACCTGGTCTAGAGGTCAGGGGGGGGTGGGGTCAAGGATAAAATCCCCGACGGTGCATTTTGAGGCTTTCGTTTTCATGGACAGGCTCATCGGTTTCTGATGAGCAGAGGCAGTGAGGGAGCAAGCAGAGGTAAGAATCGAGAAAACCTGAGATGAGATGTGATTGAGAGTTTGCTTGCTTGAGGACGAAGAAGAGAATTCAAGGGAATGACCATGAATACAGGTACTGTTCAATCAGCGAGCCAGAAAAAGTACTTTTTCAAGTGCTTCTGGATCCTCTCTAACGCCATTGCATCGAATGGGCTCCAAGCGGGATGAGCCTGATCTCTCTGTAGCCTGGTAGACCACTGTAACTGTTCTGAGGTGTTCTCGAACCAAACCAGGGCTCGATGGAAAGGCTTCCTCTGCATTGGGTATCGCTCATCTTATTTCTACACCTCAGCTTTCACAGAGCTTTGTGCAATGGCTGTCAGAATGGAAACGCAGAAAACAATTCCTTCAACACAATGAGCCATTGTCAGCCTTGTCCAAGTGGTTCAAACATCGGATCATCCAGATTATCATGGACGAGATGGAACAAAGATGGTGAAAGTTTGAGATGGATTCCTTCGGAATCAACAAAGAGTATGGTAGTCGACAACGGTGGAGGGCATCTGGTGCATGAGAGCAGTAGAGCAATAACCCTACGAGCACACATAAACATTCGGTCCAGTGATGACAGAGGAGGTGAGGCAATCACCTGGTTGCTTAAATCCTCAAATTCTACAAGCCCTTCAAATGCTTCAAATCCAACAAACTTCATTGTGTTGTTTCAATACGGTCCAGATTGCACTAGGCAGGACAGCGGTCTATGCGAGTACAAGTCGGATGTCGGATATCAAAACTGTAGTGTCAGTGAGATGCATGGAATAACCAGTAATGACACGAGCAGTGCATTCTTCACTACATTCAATCAGGAAAATCGAGAAGTCACCCTCGGATCTGATTCTTGTCCTGTTTGCTGCCTGAATGCAATACAAATCACCAAGGACAACAACGATCTGATTTGCATGTGGAAGAAAAGCTATTTCGGTGAGGATGGAGTGCGCTCCCTCAGATGTCCTCAGGCAACTCACAAATCAATCTACACCCCAAATACTGCCCTGCGACAATGCAACGTGGGCTACGCTTACGACAACGCCTCCTGCCTGCCGTGTGCTGTAGGGACGTACAAGAGCACGGTCGGCAACGTGGGGTGCAGCAAGTGCTCCGAGAACAGCACGACAGCGTCGACGACCAGCGCAAACGTATCCGCTTGCGTCTGCAAGCCGGGATACTCGCAGGAGGACTCCCGTTTCTCTTGTTGCTTGTCGATGGGGTTGACTTGTTTGGGGACGCTTCTCCGTCGATTCTGGTGTTGTTTTTCGTGTTGCTTGCCTCCGCCGGAAGTATTCTCGCTATTTTCTTTCATGGTTTCCGGTTGGCACAGGTATATCAGGGAGACAAGTTGGGTCAGTCTTGGGATGGTCTGGGCGATTTTGGTGTCTCGTGTACGATGCAAGGCTCGATCCTATTGGATCGTGATGGTGGTCTTGGTTCTTAATGATTTGAATCTTGCCACTTGTCACAGTGATCCTTACAAGGCTGTACAAGTCTACAGGCAGATGGCAATGTTTGATGACAACCTTGCAAACCATTGTGTGCCAAACACGCCAGCTATCAGTATCGGATCAAGAGCCACTGCTTATGGCTCGTCGCAAGTTGGTGGTAATCATACAATCGCTGGATTCAACGATGGAGTATTTGGAAATGACAAGGGTTGGATTCCTGGATCTTTTGACACTGCCCCCTGGATTTCTGTTTTGTTTTCAACCTCTGTAGTCATCCGGTACATCGCATTTTCACAGTCCAAGGACAGGTTTGGGGGAGCATTCACAGTAGAGATACTTCCATACGACAGCACGACCTTGTTCATCGACGCCAGCACTGCCGGTTGGCAAACAGTGACAACCATCCCAGCCAGGTCCAACCCTCATCGCCAGGTGTTCGACCTCGGGGGCGCGGTCCTGGCCAAGGCAGTTCGGATCAAGTTCAGCGCAGCCATAGGCAACAGCTTCGACGAGTTCGAGGTGTACGCAGACTCGGAGAGGTTTCCGAGGAACGTGTCAATCGGGACCGTGAACCCGGGTGGAACTTGTGCCGGTTATCGGAGAAACGCGGTTTACGGTGTGCTGGCAAGCGATTACACGTGTCCTGCTGGTACCTACAGGAATGGAGCTGCTATCCATCCATGCACGACCTGCCCCACATCGAAGCCCTGCTCTAAGCTTGAATCCACGGCAGCGACTACCCGCAACACATGCAACAAGGGGTACTACGCGGAGACAGGCACTTGTGTCGAATGTCCCCACATGACCACCACGAGCTCTGCTGGGGCCAAGAGCGTGGCAGATTGTGTGCCTTATAAGCCGTTGGTTAGCTATCAGTTTGAAGATGGAAGCAATCTGGGGAAGGATAGTTCGGGGAATGGGAAGCATGCGACCATATCGTCGCCTCCACCAACACTGACAAGCGGGAGGAGGGGGAATGGCGCATTGTTCTTTACTGGGAACAACTATCTTGAGCTGTCCAATGACGGTACTTTCTCACCAGCAACATTCAGCATATCTGTTTGGGTAAGGGTGACACAAGCGAATATTAACCAGTCTATTGCAAGCTGCCAGTCAAAGAATGGTGGAAGTACTTTGCAAGGATGGACGCTGTATATTAATGCAGACTCAAAGACAATTACTTTTGAAACGTGGCATAACAGCCTAGTTCATGCAAGCCAGTGGGCAGACTTTGCAAACAATGTGTGGAATCATCTTTATGTGAGTGTAAGCACAAACAGCGGAACGATGATCAAAAAAATATACGTGAATGCCGCGCATACCGTGAGTTCGACTACAATGCATTACGGCCAAGCGTCAGGAGATACTTTTGCAATAGGTGCGGCTGGATTACCATATACTTCATATCTCACCAACGGATATCTCGATGACTTTCGGTTTTACACACACGAGCTATCGGAACATGACATACATCAGCACTACTACCCTCTCTTCTATCCCACTGGGTGTTTGACTCACAGCTACAACTCCAACCCCTCCTACGCTTTTTATCCAGAAGTGATTGCCAGCGTGGACTTCCCCAGTGTCGCCGATCTCAACTCAGCGGCGTCTGTGCCCCTTGCAAGCTTCGATGCTGCCGTGAGGGCCCTGGTGTCGAGCGAGAAGTACGCGACGATTGTGAGGGTCTGTTACGACTGCGACGCCTCCTACTGGCTCACCTTCTACAAGCGGGTGCTCCCGATCGATCCCGATTGGAGTCTGTCTCAGGCTCTACTCTACGATTGGATCTCAGATCGCAACATACAAAACCTCCATTTCAAGTTCTACACCAAGGAATCTGATTACCTCGCCGATAAACCGGCGACCTTTGACCCAAGCTACTGTGCTTCTACCTACAGCTACGGCTCCATGCACCTCTGCTCCACCATCACTACAAGCCCAGCTGTCGTACCCACGGTGATTGACAGCAGTCACTCGTACCTGTCATTCACGAATAATGGGTCGGTAGACCAGCAGCCATACACGGTCACCTTCTCTGAGAACACAGTGGTGGATTACCTCCTGATCGGAGGGGGAGGCGGCGGGGGTTTCGATGGCGGAGGAGGAGGAGCAGGTGGTTTGATTTACCGAACCTCGCAGGTCATACCCAAAGGAACTTACGTGATTGCAGTCGGTAACGGAGGTGCGCACAGTGCAGCGAACAACGCTTCTGCTCAGAACGGATTCAACACTATCTTCCTTGGGCTGGTCGCTGTTGGAGGGGGTGGGGGTGCGAGCCGAGACGGAGGAGGACCAGGTCAAGATGGCGGAAGTGGGGGTGGAGGTGGGAGCTCAGAAGCGGCTAGGACAAGAGGGGCAGGAGCCGGAACGTCTGATCAAGGCAACGAGGGAGGGGCAGGTGTGGGCGGTAACTGCAGTGCAGCGGGAGGAGGAGGCGGCGGAGCGAATGGGGTGGGAACGGCGGCAAGTTTGTGTCAAGGCGGTGATGGTGGATCTGGTCTATCTGTTGCAATCACAGGAACTCCCGTCACCTATGCAGGCGGAGGCTCAGGTGGCAGTCCTAGTGGAAGGTGTCCACCGGGGACGGGTGGAGCAGGTCACTTGCAGTACGGGGGAGGAGGAAGAGGACGGGTCGCTGATGGATGCAGCTCTTCCGCGTACACTCGCAGTCCTACCGACGGCCAACCCGGCGTTGTCATCCTCCGCTACCGGACCAGTCTGGTAGCGACTAGTGGAGATGCAGTGGGTGCCTCGAACAAGGCCGTGTTTTACCTGCTCAAGGATTGTCGAAGGTGTCAGGATGGGTTTCAGACTGCGGTGACTAGTGCTACCAGCGTATCACAATGTGAAAAATATGAGTTTTCAACACCTTGGTGTCCTATTGGAACATATTCAGATTCAGGACATATGTCAGCAGAAGATCAGAATTGCATAACCGGTGTGTGTAGTGCTACCGGGTCTCCTGCGCATCAAGCAACTACTGGTCCAGAGCGTGCAATTGATCGTGGATTGGATGGTAAATGGCTATCACAATACAATTTATTTCTTAGTCTTGTTGCTATTCAATGGTTAAGGATTGATTTTGGAACATCTCGAAATATTCGAAAGGTGAAATGGTGGCCAAGACAAGATGCATATCCTTCGCAAGGAAATGCGGATGTGTGGATAGGCAATTCTGCAGATGATGCAAGGTCTAACAATCGCTGTGGAACATATCAAAAATTTCTATCAAAAACTGAAACAAAGACTGTTGAATGCAATGTAGATGGGCAATATGGATGGTTGTATGATACGACTGATTCGATGGGTATTGGCGAAGTCATGTTTTTAGGTGGGTGCACCTCCTGCCCCACCGGAGCCACCACAAAGTACGAGGGGAGGACTAGCAACGTGGACTGTATCTGCAAGCCAGGATACACCAGCAGTAGCAACAAGTGCCTCAAGTGCGACAAGGGCCAGTACATCTCCAACGGATCGTGCGTGACTTGCCCTGCCAACACGTTGAGCTCAGGTCTTGCCACCGGAGTAGAGACGTGTGTGTGCCCAGCTGGATACTTCATATCCAACACTACAGCTGGGGCGTCGAGCTCCTTCGACTGTCTGGTATGTCCAGCGGGCACCTACAGCAATACGAGCGGCCAGACCTTGTGCAGTACTTGCTTCCCACACGCGACCTCGGAGGCCGGGAGTGTCGACGTCAGCTGGTGTCAGTGCAACGTTGGCTACGCTTACGACAACGCCTCCTGCCTGCCGTGTGCTGTAGGGACGTACAAGAGCACGGTCGGCAACGTGGGGTGCAGCAAGTGCTCCGAGAACAGCACGACAGCGTCGACGACCAGCGCAAACGTATCCGCTTGCGTCTGCAAGCCGGGATACTCGCAGGAGGACGCAGGGTCGTGTGTGGCATGTCCGGCGGGCAAGTACAAACAAGCGCTCGGCCCAGGCGCTTGCACTAACTGCCCCAACAACTCTGTCACTCCGTCGGTAGGCAGCACGCAGCTGAGTCAGTGCGTATGCAAGCCAGGATACACCAGCAGTAGCAACAAGTGCCTCAAGTGCGACAAGGGCCAGTACATCTCCAACGGATCGTGCGTGACTTGCCCTGCCAACACGTGGAGCTCAGGTCTTGCCACCGGAGTAGAGACGTGTGTGTGCCCAGCTGGATACTTCATATCCAACACTACAGCTGGGGCGTCGAGCTCCTTCGACTGTCTGGTATGTCCAGCGGGCACCTACAGCAATACGAGCGGCCAGACCTTGTGCAGTACTTGCTTCCCACACGCGACCTCGGAGGCCGGGAGTGTCGACGTCAGCTGGTGTCAGTGCAACGTTGGCTACGCTTACGACAACGCCTCCTGCCTGCCGTGTGCTGTAGGGACGTACAAGAGCACGGTCGGCAACGTGGGGTGCAGCAAGTGCTCCGAGAACAGCACGACAGCGTCGACGACCAGCGCAAACGTATCCGCTTGCGTCTGCAAGCCGGGATACTCGCAGGAGGACGCAGGGTCGTGTGTGGCATGTCCGGCGGGCAAGTACAAACAAGCGCTCGGCCCAGGCGCTTGCACTAACTGCCCCAACAACTCTGTCACTCCGTCGGTAGGCAGCACGCAGCTGAGTCAGTGCGTATGCAAGCCAGGATACACCAGCAGTAGCAACAAGTGCCTCAAGTGCGACAAGGGCCAGTACATCTCCAACGGATCGTGCGTGACTTGCCCTGCCAACACGTTGAGCTCAGGTCTTGCCACCGGAGTAGAGACGTGTGTGTGCCCAGCTGGATACTTCATATCCAACACTACAGCTGGGGCGTCGAGCTCCTTCGACTGTCTGGTATGTCCAGCGGGCACCTACAGCAATACGAGCGGCCAGACCTTGTGCAGTACTTGCTTCCCACACGCGACCTCGGAGGCCGGGAGTGTCAACGTCAGCTGGTGTCAGTGCAACGTTGGCTACGCTTACGACAACGCCTCCTGCCTGCCGTGTGCTGTAGGGACGTACAAGAGCACGGTCGGCAACGTGGGGTGCAGCAAGTGCTCCGAGAACAGCACGACAGCGTCGACGACCAGCGCAAACGTATCCGCTTGCGTCTGCAAGCCGGGATACTCGCAGGAGGACGCAGGGTCGTGTGTGGCATGTCCGGCGGGCAAGTACAAACAAGCGCTCGGCCCAGGCGCTTGCACTAACTGCCCCAACAACTCTGTCACTCCGTCGGTAGGCAGCACGCAGCTGAGTCAGTGCGTATGCAAGCCAGGATACACCAGCAGTAGCAACAAGTGCCTCAAGTGCGACAAGGGCCAGTACATCTCCAACGGATCGTGCGTGACTTGCCCTGCCAACACGTTGAGCTCAGGTCTTGCCACCGGAGTAGAGACGTGTGTGTGCCCAGCTGGATACTTCATATCCAACACTACAGCTGGGGCGTCGAGCTCCTTCGACTGTCTGGTATGTCCAGCGGGCACCTACAGCAATACGAGCGGCCAGACCTTGTGCAGTACTTGCTTCCCACACGCGACCTCGGAGGCCGGGAGTGTCAACGTCAGCTGGTGTCAGTGCAACGTTGGCTACGCTTACGACAACGCCTCCTGCCTGCCGTGTGCTGTAGGGACGTACAAGAGCACGGTCGGCAACGTGGGGTGCAGCAAGTACTCCGAGAACAGCACGACAGCGTCGACGACCAGCGCAAACGTATCCGCTTGCGTCTGCAAGCCGGGATACTCGCAGGAGGACGCAGGGTCGTGTGTGGCATGTCCGGCGGGCAAGTACAAACAAGCGCTCGGCCCAGGCGCTTGCACTAACTGCCCCAACAACTCTGTCACTCCGTCGGTAGGCAGCACGCAGCTGAGTCAGTGCGTATGCAAGCCAGGATACACCAGCAGTAGCAACAAGTGCCTCAAGTGCGACAAGGGCCAGTACATCTCCAACGGATCGTGCGTGACTTGCCCTGCCAACACGTTGAGCTCAGGTCTTGCCACCGGAGTAGAGACGTGTGTGTGCCCAGCTGGATACTTCATATCCAACACTACAGCTGGGGCGTCGAGCTCCTTCGACTGTCTGGTATGTCCAGCGGGCACCTACAGCAATACGAGCGGCCAGACCTTGTGCAGTACTTGCTTCCCACACGCGACCTCGGAGGCCGGGAGTGTCAACGTCAGCTGGTGTCAGTGCAACGTTGGCTACGCTTACGACAACGCCTCCTCCTGCCGTGTCTGTAGAGTCAAGAGCACGTCGCAACTTTGTTT